ACCAAAATTTGCGTCTTTATCCCGCTACTATAGAATATCATTTTGAACAGAACGTTTCCTCCTTAGTTTTGGTCTTGTTTACAAGAAGAAGCAGATTTCTTGAGTCAAGTTTATAGCTGGGAACTGATCCAATCATTTTTGTTCCGCACAATAAATTTCAATAGAAAATAAAATCTCTGGCATGCGCAAGTGCGCGATTACGGTAATGTTCAAGTGCCGTGCACTTCATTAAGATATGTTTACATAAGCGAGCGCCCTGTCCATCCACCGTAATCTCTTCGCATAACTGATCCTACGTACACAACTTTACATCACGATTTTTGACAGCTAAGCTCATTACTATGATGGGTGTACACAGAATGAAGGTCATAGTAAGAGCCCGTTCATAAGAGGACTCAGTCGAGATATCCACGAAAATTGACACCATTCTCTTCTGAAGATCTCAATTTCCCTTCCAAGATTCTGCTTGTTTTAAAAGCAACCAGGTGGTATTCAAGGAAAATAGCATTATTTCGTTTAGATTCTGCTCGAAATGCAATATATGGTTGGCTGTTCTATGCGGCTTGTTTTTTCTCCTCAGCATCGCCCTATTTGTGGTATGGGCAGTCACCAGCCACGGTTTCTCTAATCTTGGAGGGCTACCAAAGGTGTGCAGTACGAAGGAGTGTATTGACACAGGTAAGTGAAGGGAAGGGTACCTCAGAGACGTCATTGATGCAAAATGTGTTGCTGCATCAAATTCGCGGGATGCAGTGAAAAATTTTACCTCATTCCAATTTGATGGGTAAAAACTTCAGGGAAACTAGTATCGCTTACATTTTCATGGAGGGCTTTCCTCTGAGCAATTTCCAGCAGGGTGTCTAGTTTACTGAGGCTTCAGGCAGAGCAAATATGTCATACGATTCGCGTTCACGTCCTCCTATCACATGGGACCTGCCAAACCACTATTTCTTCTGCTGCAAGGAAGCACTCTTGATCTGGCTCTTGACGATGTCTGAGAGCTGCTTCTTAGAAATAAACGGCACACATAAAACCTCATGACGCAGAATGCCCGACGACAGCTAGCCGGAACATGTTCTGCGAGAAGGAGAGTTTACAGTGGTAATAACAAAAAAGTGGTTGGGAGCTTTTGCGGGAGCTTTTGCGAAAATTGACCAGCGACGACAAAATGTGACCTTATTTTTGTGAAAGGGATGGTCCGGTCACCGACATCACTTTTAAACGACATTCTATTTCTACTTTTTTTATCTCTCTATTTTGTGCATTTTTGCTTTTATTTTTTGCTCTATACATTAAATTCGTTATTTTCCACATTCTCCTTTGGGTTTTTCTGAACAGTAGGGTTTAAGCCCTCGATTAGAAGAATTAGACAAAATTGTTGTGAGAAAAATGAAGAGTTTTTATCTAGAAGTGAGTGGAATATCTCGCTACCTGAGTGTAAAATTGAAAGAAAATTGAGAGCCCCGCATTGAATGGTGATATAATTTTTTAAAGCAAATTACGAAACAGTTCGAAAACCTGGTCTGGCATTACCTGCCACTCACGGAAAACAACATTGTGAACTTTCGATGAAATAAGAGTAGATGCTTTTGCCGAGGTGATGTGGATGAGAGTAAGAATGACCAGTTTCTATAGAACCAGAGCGTAGTGACCAGAAATTCCTTTTTTATAGCATAGTGGCCAGGAATTTCTATACGTATCATCCTTGGCGCTAACCCAGGCTCTAACAAGGATGTTTAGTGGAGTTTGTTATCGAAATCTGACTTTTATTGTTGATTCCATTTCCGTCTAAAGAGCATAATAACCACCACGGGCACATGCACTAGCCACTGTTGCAGTTGTAGCCTCCATCAAATGCTTTCACTGTCCGTTATAGGAGTCGGAAGCATGGTGTAGCCTTTCAAAATCATTGAATTGATCGCATCTTAGCTCTTGTAGCATTTTCCGTAGTCGATGGCAATTTCATAGGTATTACCTACCATGAGAAGTGATCTGGGAAAATTATTCAGTCCTGTACTTTCAGCTTTTCGGATATCGAATTCTGTCGATGACGCAGTGGAACCATGTGAAAACTTCTATCGCTATTCGTGCGGCAAATTCCATCGTCAAGACATTGAGAAGCAGATGAACTTCCTCGAAATCCAAACTGATGCTACCCGACGTAAACTTCACAGTAGGTTTCTGGATAACTTCAAGCCGTTCGATTATTCATAGTCTCCTACAAAAATATTTCTAATATTTCTTGTCCAGAAAATATATTTCTAATATTGTCTGTGTTGATCGTTTCCTTGCAGGATTCGCTCGAACTCTTGTAAACCTTGTGAAAACATCACGTCATGATCAGTTGATACGAAACCCACGTTGAAACGCACAGGCAGAATTGCCATGAAATCTTAGAAGATCGTCATGGCACGAAAGTATATTCACAGTGATGAAAGATAAAGTTTTTGGCGTTAATCAATCCCGTCTGAAGGATGCGCCCCCGCACTCGACATCCATACAGAATCGCAGTGGCGTAAGAGTGCCTATGTGGCTTATACAATGACTTGCGGTGGTCAGTTAGTGTACAAGTCAGTGCTTTTATCCTCCCAGGTGNGTCTGGTACCAATTCACCAACCCCGGAGGGATGGAAGGCTTGGTTGGCCTAGGCGGGCATCTATACGGAATTCGAACCCCTGATCGTGTGTGATATAGCGCGCCACTTGCCACTACACAATGATATTCATTTGCAATTTCAACACCAGCAACCACATCTAGGATAAAATTATCATTGTTGACGATGACTAGATGTGAGTAGAAGTCAAACGGCAAAAGCTTGCTAGGTGTTTGAAAGGCAACCCTCATGATGAATCCGCAACCTCCACTTACTGGCTGTGAAAAGAAACCGTTCAGGCATACTGACAAGCACAGAGTCAAACGACACTTCGAGGACAGCTCGGTTGTCGCGTGCAGTCTTCTCATCCTGTATGGATTTTGAACAGAGGTACTACACTCCCTTGAAAGTAACGGACTCAATGTCTATGCAATGTTTTGTTTACTTGCCTATTAGAACTTCGCATAAGGATTATGTTTTTCGGTATGTTTAATTTATTGTTTCATTTTCCAAGAGAGAATTACAGAGGGTGAATGGTACCTACCGGCTAGAGGCAAACGCTAAGTGAACATCTTACCTCTATTATGGACGAGGAGTGGAGGAAAAGATATTAAACTTATTCGGTAATTGCGAAGATGTCACTGAGCTCGAAGCTAGCAGGAGATCAAGTCTTTACTGACCAACATTTGTCTCAGGTTTCCAAATACTTCGAGCACAGAACTTCAGCTTCAAGTTGTCTATTGCAATTCGAAAGTCACCGTCTAGCGCTAGCTCCAGGTAGCAGCTAGTAGAGCTAAACCTTACGTCAAGCAATGTTTGTCGGTGTAAAAGACTCTTTCAAAACTGATCAGAAACAGAGTAGCGGATAACAAAAGCTGGCTTAGGCGAGCACTGAGCTCATCTTAGAACCATCACCAATTTCACCAATGCAAAGACAGTTAGGGCATGGATTGTCAACAGCTCAACAGGAAAATGGGACAAATCTCAGTCTCTATGACAAACACCATGTGCATTGTTGAAACCGATTCTCTTGAAGCTGCTAAAAAGTTACAGAGCCACAATTTGTACAGTCGCATTTTTGTTTACAAATGAACCCTAGAAGTTGCCACCAAGCCTTAATAATACCGTGAACAACAACAAGCTTATTCTATTATGCTTTCGACTTTTCTAATTGGCCATTAGAACATTGTTACGTGAAACAGGTCAGGACCTGCTCCAGCATAGACTTATTGAAGTTCTTTTATTTCCTAAATCTAGAGAAAGAATCGGATATTCTGCGTTGATCGACCTTTTGAAGAATTTACCATGTGGTCCGATTTTGGAAGGATGTAACTTCAGCCCAGTTTCGTACAGGTTGGTTTGTTCTTTTCATCTCTTGACTTTGAAAGGTGTTGCTTACACTGCTTTAGCTGGGAGCGACATAGCGGTATGCTAGATTGGTATGCTGACCAATACAATTTTGTGGTGTTCGGCACGGATGTTTATCTGAAAGATCGTTCGCAATTAATTTTACAGGTGAGATTACCAGAACACCTGTCTTGTTGAGGGGGATAAGTTATTGTCATGTGCGTTTCGTGCATGTAATAAATAATAATAATAATAGTAATAATAATAATAATAATAATAATAATAATAATAATAATAATGTGGACTCTAAACCCAAAAACTTTCAGTTCCAACCACCTGATCTGTCGCAAATTATCGGTCCAATTCGAGCAGATCTCATAAAAATTGCCAACCCTGGACCAACCGAGTTGGAACCACTCCTTCAAGTGCAAATACGACAGGTGGGGCAGAACTAAATGGTTCAAGTGAATTAGGTGCATCTATGCCTTAATGTATTTTCTCCTTTAGAATCTCACCAATGACCCAGTACTCTTATTGATTGCACCAGATGAAAAGCAACGGCAAACTATGCTCGAAGATGTGGCGCAGTTGATGTTGGACATTGACAAGGTAATTATTGCTAGTTGGGGTGGAATTCTTTAGTAAAAGCCTGTCACCTACGTCCTCTCTGAATTTGGATGCTTTGGTACAGCAGGACAGGTGCCAAAACGTTTCGGCTGAACACACACACATCCGACACACTTCGTGAGCACCTTTCCCGTCATTAACGTAGTTCTGCTTTGATTTGAGCGCTCTAGCTTCAGTGGAATAGGAGTTACGAATCTTTGCACAAACCTCGCTCCCTGGGGACGGAGTCCAGTCCTGCCACTTGCCACACATGATTCTATCCTGCCACTTGCACTCATACAAAATTTGAACGCTCTAAGTTTACAGTAACGGGGATATAAATCCCGACAAACATTTATTTCGCGCAAACCCTGCCCCCTGTGGGCGTGCTCCGGTCCTGCCATTCCCCATATGATCCCATTCTGCCGTCTGTACTCCTACCCTTGCTCACATTATCTCCGAGTTTTGTTATCTTCTTTGTTTCAGCACTTAATCACCTCGGCTTATAAACAATTAACAGCAACTGAATGTTCGTTCGCTAAAAGCCCACCAAAAGCCGACAATCTCTCGTAGCGCATAAGATTTCCCTCTCTTTCGAATGCTTATGAAAAGTGGAAAAATTCCAGTCTGAGACTTTACAACCTTGAAAGCTGCTCTAATCTTCATTGGGGATATTGGTTTATCGAAAGTGTCGGGCAACAAATGTTTATTGTAAAGCGAGGTTCTCTAAATCGAAAGAAAATGCTTTAGGTAGAGAAAACACGAAGAATTTATAAGTGATATGACCTTAGCGTTCTGTGGACTACTGGCTGGTGGACGATGTAATGACTCGAAGTTTGTTTCAGCTCACAAGGTCTACTGATCCGAACATCACCGACATGAAGCTCGATGACTTCAAGTCCATAGCACCACAGGTAAAAGAGTATCCCCGCAGCCTTAGCATCCTATTCTGATTGGTAGCAACTGTCATCCATGTTCTTTTAATGATTGCAGATAAGTTGGCGTGATCTGTTGGGAGCAGAGTTGTCCCCGTTGCTGAATTTAACGGATACAACTATGGTGTCAGTGATGAATCTCGAGTACTTCAACCAATTGGCTCTGCTGGCTGCACGTTATTCCCTTCAGACGATGGCCAACTATCTTGTAGTAGTGACGGTGAAACATCTGCAAGCCTTTACTTTCGACGAAAAACGACAGCCGAGGTGGGCGGAATCCCTAAGGGCCATCTTCCCAGAGCCAGCGACACCCTAGCTTCGTTTAGCTGGTTACAGTGCGTCGAAAATCTTGAGACTTTCGAGCCCGTTCAAAAGTTGTACATCACCAATAATCAACTGAACAAGAAAGATAAAGTAAGTCACAAAATTCATTAAATGTGAGGGCTTACCAGAATTCTTTTCCAGTTTGCTGTAAGCCATTTCAGATCCTTTCCTTTCTTGGAGAGCTTAAGAAGAACTTCTTGGCTACTCATCAGACGCAGTCACCTCAATACGTCAGCGACATTAATCGCATCGCCTTCTTAGTCGGATATCCTCAACGACTCATGGATGAAGAGCTTGTTTGGAAACCCTTTTCTCCTGTATGATCGTTAGGACTTTACCATTGAGGCTTCCAATGCAGAGCGCCTGCAACTTTGCTCAGATGTTGCTGGTTAGGTGCTCACATATTTCTAGGTTGTGGTAGACTTTGACGACTACTTCGGTTCGATCACGAGGCTGCTACGGAGACAAAGTACCTACCGACTGGCGAAGATCGGTACCTCATTGGATCCAGATGATACAACAGTGTATGATGTGCTTCGGCCTACCATTGAATACAACGGTCATCTCTCCATCATGGGTATAACTTTATTACACATTTGATATGCAGGTTTTTGGGAACCTCCGTGCAATACTTGCTCAATAACCGACCAACAGCAGTGACGAAGGCGCTTCCGCTGTGTACCGTGTAGAGCCATGGCAAGGGTGTCAAGCTGAGTTTTATGGTAGAGGATATAGTAACACCAACAGCTTCCGTTGGTCCTAAGAAGCTCATTATTTACCGAGCTTGTAAGCTGTCTATCTCTCCGTTACACCATACATGGAGTGGCTGCAAGTAAACTTAGTAAATGCCTTATGTAGTCATGGAATGGTGTTATCATAATGGTAGTAACACATTTGAACGCCCGCAACTGTACTGCCTGACAAAGCAGTACATTCTGTTTTCTTAGTTTCGACTGTAGTCAGTTCTCTATCTAACTCATTTGTGATTACAATGAAACGGTGGTGTCTGTGTGTCTTTTTAATGTGTATTGGCCCACCCGGTTTGACCTCTATCTAGGAAGAGCTCTTAGCAGTAGAGGAAGCACTAGAGGAACAACTTTTTGCAGACCGACAAGTGTACGAAGGGGCAGAACCATTAATCTGCTGATTTTTTAGACGTGAAAGGTAGACAGGCATATGTTCCGATATCCCTTCTATGCAAATGCATACTCTACTCACAGTTGGTGAAATCGTTGTAACCGATGTAAGATATAAAAACAGATCAACGTAGAAGACGTTGGAACGTTTGCACGTCCTTTGCCGAGCACAAGATAATAGGTTATGATCGCGAACGTATCTCGATATGTCGAAGGCCATTACAATCTACATGACTAGGGTAGTTGTTTTGTATCCTTATGGCGTTTTCTCATTAACCATATTGTCTCCCCCTTACACTAGAGATAACTCTGGATTAACTATGAGATGGGTGTCGAAACTATTTAAAGTATCGCTTCGATTGCGCTTCCTCTAAACATTTACAGTGCTACCTCTGGCTTTCCTGCAACCTCCAATCGCTATCCCCGGAGATGGATTGCCGATGGTTGTAGTGTACGGAAGTCTTGCGGTGGCAGTAAACCATTTCATGGCTAAGGTACGTAATTCTGTAATTCCGTTGGAGCTAGCTATTTTGAGTTTGGGCGGGTGTAGTGGTAAGTGACGCCCACAGTGACGCAGTATGTCACACGCATGGTCACTGGTTTGAATCCCGCATCGGTATCCGCCTAGGTCGACCCCCGAGACGGGATTGATTGTTCACCACAATCTTCATCCTTTATCCTTCATTGCACAGTTTTAGATTTACTGGCAAAGTGTGGATCGCGCATATCAAATGCAATGCTTGGATAGCATCTTCAGAGGTTTCTTGTCTTCGAATTACAAGAGTGCACCCAACGTCCAGGTGAATCAAACACTGCTTTTCTGCAGCGTATAGTTCTTGAAAAGTTGGAAGTTTGGGCCTTACAAGAATTGCTTTTATCTACAAAAACAAGCTAAAAAATGGAGCCATCTTCAGAGTGAACTCTCGCGTACAGTTGAATTGGCAGATTCACTAAAAACCACTTCGCTTGGTTTTCTTAAATGGCAAAAGGAGCATCCAATGCACAAGGAACAGTCTCTTCCTGGCTTCGACGACCTCGACGATGTACAAGACATGTTACTGGTTTTTGGAACTGTAGGTGTATTTGTGATTGACTATTAGCACAGGCACTCAATAATTCTTTTTAAGTTATTCTGCGACAAGGATGGCGCACAAACAGGGTCTCCGTACGAAGCTATGTGAGTTTTGGTCCAATACTCCGACTTCAAACGAAGTTTAATATCTCTCATTTCCTATCATTTCCAGTCTGAACTATTTATCCGATCGCAAGACAGGCTATTTTTTATTTATTTGTCAACTACTTTTTGAAAGGCAAGAGCGATGAGTGTGTTGTCATATGATCTTAAAAACACCGATATTCTGCTTAGAATTCCTCTCCCCGAAGTTGTATGTGGAAAATTGGATAAATAGGGTGCAAATGAGGCTCAAAATTGATCTGATCGCCCACGAGGCCTCTCAACAGGCTATGTTTCCAGCGCCCTGAGTCAGAGAGGTGAGGGCATTCAATAAAATCCGGTTAGGGCTATTATGAACGCTTCTGATCTTGCAAATACAAAGCTAGGTGATAGGGTTCCGAACAGTATTCCAGTCCGTAACTTTCACTCATAACAACTTTCCTGCAACTGCATCATTGACTGTTGTGGTAGACTGACTTTCTTGCACAGCACATGCTGGCGAGGAACACTTCACATTAAACCATAATGGAGTGGATCTTACTGATGTCGTACATAATGTTGGTGTGCATTCAAATTGGGCTCGTAAACAATTCCAGTACCATTATTGAGTATGAAAGCTGCGGCATTTAGTAGTTACTCAGGCCACTCAGTTACTCAGCACAGCACAGCAAAAATTTTTTTTCGAAAGCTTTACAAACATACAACCTATGAAACTATTTAGCTAGAGAAGGGTGACGTATTTCTGAACATTTCATGTCCAGCTTTCGGTTAATCTCGGAATAATATAATTTTAAGTTCTTGCGGATTTTCGCTTTTGATGTATCACATATCTGCATCAACAGAGAACCGAGTTTTAAAGTGAGTTTCCTATTCTGGACGAACTTCGATCGTCCTGGAAGTTAAGTAAATTCCATCTCCTATATGCTGTTGGCTGGCAGTACCCATGCCTTTAAATAGTTCACAGGCCCCATAGCAAAGCTCTTTTCATTTCAGGATGAACACGGTAGCGAGCTCGTCTCCACTCTATTCCAAGCATTTTCACTGCACAACCAATTCGGCCATATATAATAGAGGGCTATGCTTGTGAAACTCGTGGATAACAAATACCGTTTCTATGATCCTATGAGCTTTAATTATTGTATTGTAAAGATATTTTGTATATCTCGTCTTTTATACGAGTATGACAAGTTCCTAAAATATATTCTTAAATTGCAAAAATCAAAGCAAAACTTCAAACTGCTCTACTTTGCTAGTTTGGGATGAGTTTCTTGAATAATGTGTGTCTTCTCATATTATGAATGTTTGCTCACAACTAGTCTTTCTTGTAAGCGTTTATACATAGTCGATCAAAATCTCTTTTGTGGATTTTGGCAATCAGATATAACCATGTAGCTGCACATTAAGCAATTGTTCTTATGTCGTACTGTCCTTTTGAATTATTTTGCCTTTTTCAAACTGCATGATTGTCAGATCAATAAAGATTTATTATTGAACTGGATGTACCCTTTTTTGTAACAATGCAGCGTGAACCTTGGAAATGCGAGCTCCAAAACCTGAAATCTCCTTGGAGAAAGTGCAACCGCGAGTAAATTTTCAGAGCCACGCTTTTGAGATTGTAACACTTTTTACCCATGAAAGTTCATTAACATTATGTAATAACAAATGCTGTGGTCAGTTGGTCTGATGCTGGGTATAACAACTGGTGGACCTAGGTACCTGAATCAAATTTATCATTTTTTTCAGTTTTTTTCTTTCTATACATATTACTCTTAATATACATATGTGTGACACTACAACTTAAAAACATCCGGAGTGAGAAGGGATTCCAAAACTAAACTCATACCATTTGAGGATAAACACCATTAAGTCAGCTTTAGCGAAAACTATTGAAAATATTGATCAGCCTAGGATTTCCCGTTATTTTCAACTTGTTGGGAGCTCCCTATGCACCAATGATTTCCATTTCTCCATTTTTCAAATACAGAGAGCAGCAATACTGAAAACAGCAATACTATGGTCACGTTCATTCGGTACAGATCGAGATAACTCTTTGCTATTTCACTGTGATGCGAGAGCTTCAACTGAACTCGGTTCATAACCCATCTTTCCCTGACCTCATGCAGATAAATAATAAAATGTTTCGAGCAATCGCGCCTGAGGGATGCACCCTCGCATCCTACTTCACTTCAGGGTCGTAATGTCGAAATGAATGCGTAAATGGCTCAAACAATGGCTTACGTTTGCCATTCGTCTGAAAGGATAAGAAAGTGCTTTTATCCATCAATGAGTCTAGCAGCAATCAACTGCCCGTAAATAATAACTCTAAATAGAAATTCGACGTTTGGTTAGCATGAACAACTGCAAGCAACAGTTTAGCAGATTCATCTGCATCGAATTAAAGTCGAATGTGAATGTGTAAAGTCGAAACATCCATCAGGCGGGATTGATCGAAACACGTTACAATTTTTATCCTTTTATTGCTTATCCACAAGAGGTTCGAAAAGGATGAGGGATGAACCGAGAACATCTGAAGCCTTCGCGTCCACGATCGCTCAGACAAAAGCTTGCATTGGAGTCTTCTTCGTCTTATTCTTTAGCGTCCGTTCCGCTTGTAGGCGGGGTCCGCTTTTCTGATATTTTGACGCCACTTCTTAAACGCTTGATCGGGGTCGATGATGACCGTTTTGGCTGCTTTCATAGTCCGCCGGCGTGCCGGCGTGCGCGAGACAGTGTTAGGAGGAAGGAGGGCGGCACACGGTCGGTCAGCCCCTCGAAGGGCTGTAAACAAGGAGAGACAAGAGCAAAAACCATTTGTGCGAGCCCCTGGTTGTTTGGTTTTTGATCATGTTCTTNTTCTTTGTTTTCAACACCTCGACCGACCGTCTGCCGCCGGCAGACGGGCGGACTATGAAAGCAGCCTTTCAGGTCTCAGGTCCTCGTGCGATGTATCGGGCCATCGCTGTTTTGAGGGTTCACTAGGAAGTTTTCCTGACACTGTCATCATTCGCACGAAGAACATGACCATATCATCGAAGACGGGCTTCACGCATCCTACCGACAATGAGCGCTACACCGAATTACTTCATGATGACTTCATTACTTACGCGAACTAGTCGGGTTATTCCAGCTGTTAAGCGCGGCATCCTGGTCTTCATCACACTGGACGGGCTTCAACATCTTAAGTTGCAGGGCAGCACTCAATGCCGCAAATTGCGACCAGCCGGATGACGATTCTACAGATCTTGGATTAGACACGCTCGGGCATGTTCTTATCGCAGAGTACGCCTTCGTGAAGCGCTACTTTAGCCACGCTGCATTCATGCGAGAATCGGTTTCTAAAACCAGGCTGCGCCAGACGCAATTGCCGATCCAATATACTTGAATGTTATCGTTCGAGTAAGCTCATTACATTGATCTTGATAGGATCTGGCTCGCTCGGATCAGTGATCAAGCACTTACTTTTTGACGTGTAATCCAAGCCTGAACATAGCCAGACGATCGGACCAGATTTGCACCTGGGTTTGCTCCTGTTGCTCGATCTCGCTTTTGTCATCGCTGGCAAAAATCACTTCATCGGCATAAAGCCCATGAAGCCGACTTGTGGAGACCCATGACCGCAACAAGTAGGAGTGGAGATAACGCAGAGCCTTGGTGTACTCCAATGGAAATGGAAAAACCAGCCGATATGCCCGCTGTCTTTTGCACTCGGTTCTTTGGACTAGAGTAAAGGATGCGTACTCACTTGATAAGTTCTTCGAGAACGCCATGAACCGTAGTGCATTCCATATAACGTTACGCAGAGCGCGATCGAAAGCTTTCTATACGCCTAGAAAAGCGAGAAGTACCGGTCTTTGTTTCTTGTGATGCTTTTTCTAATAGAAGACGAGTGGTGATATGGCATTGGCTGGTGTTACGACCAGCCACAAAAGCACACTGGTCGGATACGGCTGTCTACAATTTGCTCAAAGATTTTCATGTGAAATAGTCCTCAGGATTGCCCTTCTTCTTCCAGATAAGAACCGTCGTTCTCTGTTGCCAGCTCTCAGGCAACTTCTTCTCTGCAACGACCTGTCCACCCCTTTGATTTCCATAAGTCCGCTGCTAAGTCATCAGGACCGTTTGCTTTGCCTGATTTCATCCTCTTCACAGCCGTAACGATCTCCTGCGCAGTTATCTTCTGAATTAGACTTTGTACTGGGGGAGCGCAAGGGATGGCGCTATGAGCAGATTTGATTGTTGAGATGGTTTTGATGTACTCTTGCCATCGTTTCAGTGTTTACCTGCGGCTCGTCTAGAATTGACCGTTCTCGTCATTCATACAGAAGAGCTTTTCCATATCTTCAGTCTGGCGTTAGCGGGCTTTTGCGAATTGGCAAACCGCTCACCATCGCCAGACTCGAGCTTCTCGTTAAAATCGGCATAAAGAGCTGCCTTCGCAGAAGTGACGGCCTTCTCCGCCTCTTTCTTCGCTATCTGATAGCGCTGAGAGTTATCAGCTGTCCTTTCAAGGAGAAGTGCGTGGTTCTGCTTTTTCTTCCCACTACTTTAACTCTGACATGGTCTGTCCTTAGCCATGTCTCATGTCGACCGTTCGCCGTCCAGGCTTGGTCATGCCGAGCTCCGACCGCGCAACCCTGATCATCGCTTCTGCAGCTCCCTATCGAGTTTCATTGACAGTCGTTACCGCTGGCAATAGAATGCGCGAGACAACGACCACTTTCTTCTCCTTCAGTCACCACCACCTGATTCCCGCTGGCCCACACTTTTCAGCTAGTTTTGGTTTCGACGGGACGATCTTTAGCGTACAAATCAGTGATCAGTCATGTGTTGCGACGGTTTCACAGGGTACTGTCTGCTACAAGCCGCTAATCGCGGTGCCTGACAAGGACGAAATCAACTTGTGTTCTGTTCTCACGGCTTAAGAAGGTAATCAGATGAGAGTCACGTTTTTCATATTTCGTGCTTACAATGGCGAGTCTGTATATCAGAGAATTCGCTCGCCCTCAGTGTTACGTGGCCCATATCCAAAACCACCATGAGAGCTACAACCGTCTCTCGCAGCACCCACATGACCGTTGAGGTCACCGCGGCAACTATGGCTTCTTGTAACGGTACCTCAGCTGTCTCCACTCAGCAGGCTCCAGAACTTGTCGTTGTTTGCTCGGGTCATCCAGTCTGTGGAGCCTAAGCTGAGAAGAGGTGATGTTTTGGCGTTCGATGAAAACAATGAACTAAATAAGAGGTCATCGAAACGTTACAAGCCTAGGGTCGAATCACGGAACCGTTCAGAGACAATTATCTCGACGCCGTTGATGGTTTTTGGACCACCACAAAGAACGGCTTTGAAGCCAAGAAAAGCCAATAACCCTGGACTTGCAGCAGGACCACCTCCTGCATGCCACAAAAATCAATTTGTCGACGCTCTAGAGCTTCTGCTAACTCGTATAAACGTCACGTCAAGGTGGAAACTTTTACGTCACAACGCGGGTCTTCCATACGTTGCGTGACTTTCGGGCTAGTCTAGTTGCCCCTCGATGCTGTCCTTGCACAGAAGTCCCTCGCACACTTTTCACACTCGCCGCGCTCTGCGAGTGTGCGTCGGCTTCCACGGACGCCGTAGCATAACATCGAGATTCATTCAGTGACATCAACATATTTTATGTGACGTGTGTGTTCGTAAACCGGCCTGCCACGAGGGCCTGTCGCCTGCATTTGAAGGCAGGTGAACAGCTCAGCCCTCAAGTAAGCAGTTCCTAGTGACACCTTTTGTATTAATGGAGACCTCCGCCAAAAGCTTGCATCAGAATGACTGGGAAAATCTTGTTGTTCCCATGGTATAGCATTGTTCATTAGTCGTAGTATATTCAACCGACACTTCGGAGCCTGGCAAAGTGCTCGAAGTTTTATATAAGACGAAAAGTGTGATATGAGTGAGACTTGTTCTTCGACATGAGAGAGCCAGCATTAGGTAGGACCATGGGAATAGAATGCCAAAATTTCAGGGCTTTGACAGGCTACTCAAAATGAAAAGGACCCAAAGCAATCCGTACTTTCAACACACACACACACACTTGTATTTTAAGCGTGTACAGGCGATCATGATGCAATCCAGGAACTTCAAGAACGATGTCATCAGACCTTTCGGCACGAGGAGACATCCTTTGCTTCCAAGGATGGAGAGAAACCGCTTTTTGGAAAAGTCGACAGCAAGGACGTTGAAGGTTTTGGTTGAAGGCAGCACATGTTTGCCCTTGGAAATAGATTTGCAAAGAAGCTTGACATCTGAAACCTGACGTTTGCGATTGAGAACGTGTAGATCAACTGGGGCCATAAAAACCTTCGTTGCCTACGCACCAACATCTAGCTACAACGAAAAGAGCTTAGCAGAAAACGATGAAAGTAGATCCGAAAAAGGGGAGAGCGAGGGTTCTGTTCGGGCCTTGTTAATTGCAAGATCAAAATGACAGAAGATCAATTTATGAAGTCAGTCTTTGTACGCCACAACTTATTTTTCCCCACTCAACCATCGCATAATCTACTGCTCTGAAAATTCGACTGTCAGTCGGTCAAGGTTTGGACCCGTAATCTGAGGATTTGCCTTATTCATGCTGACCTAAGCCATGTGCCGAATGCTTGTTATTCTTCTCATCACTTTCACTGTCAGTTCCGCATAAACAGTGTCACTTTTGCATAAATGAGAATGTTATGTCTCGTAACTGACTGTTTTTTTCGAAAGATTTCCGTGTCATTGTTCTATATTTTTTCTACTTATCGGTCTCAGTCCCATGCAAACTTTTCTCAAGGGGAGGNTCTGTATATCAGAGGATTCGCTCGCCCTCAGTGTTACGTGGCCCATATCCAAA